CAGATTGCAGAAATTGAATGAAAACCCTAACGAAATACCAAATTGCAGAAACTAAAATGAAAACCCTAACGAAATACTAGATTGCAGAAACAGAATGAAAAATGCTGTGTTCGAGATTATGTCAAATCCCATGAAATTGAGCTCTGATACCATGTTAAACAATCCAAAGAGAAAAAGAAAGGGAGGCTAGGGTTTTATTGATTCTGCATAATGTAATTGAATAATGAAAACCTAGATACAAAGAGACTATATATAGTCTAAAATAAAGACAACTTAAAAGACTATTCTACCCTTAATAAATAATAAAAACAAAATAATCATATATTTCTTAACAAAGAGATGCAAACAAGGTAGTCATACTTAACAATGANGTTTCTTAACATAGAGAACCTTACTTACGGTCCTCACATAAGATTTTTCCGTCACATCAGCAAGTGGGCAGGAGAACAATTTCGCCGGTTCTGATTTTAGAGTGTTGTTGATTTGATTACATAACTGAAATGCAGAAAGTTTTTACGACTTTGAAGCACAGAAATTAAAGGCGCAAGAAAAAGAAAAGATACCAAATGAGCTTTTAAAATTTCGAAAGATTCTATAAAGATTTGCTGATTGTGCTTTCTGTGCTTTTCACATATTTCAAGAAAGTTGCAGTCCAGCATGTTAAGGAAGTTATTATACAAGTATAAAAGTCCATCCATAAAATGTTTATCGATGGTCAGTTGAACGTATCAAATACGTCGTAAATATACGAGTATAAAAGTCCATCCATCCATATCAGGAGCTAAATTCATTACAACCAGCACTATATCAGTTCAGTCCAACGGGGGCTATTACACGAGACTACCACAAATAATGAATATTACCTCATACATGCTCCTCAAGTACACTAAAACTATACAACAAATATAAACAACTATTTCTATATTTTATGCAGTTAAAAGTGTTTTCAAAGGAATACCGCACTTCCTTTTTTGGCATACACACTCTTCAACATTCCCAAATTTCTTGTACAAAGTCATCGACTGTTGACATATTTTGATCACAATAATTATCGACGAGAAGCATATGAAAGCTTCAACACAGTCAGTGACAGGTAATTAATAACATTTTTACCATATTTTTTCATAAACAAGTGAGATCAATCAGAACTTCAGAAGGCAACCAAATGGACTGACAGATCTTATCAGACCGGGTGTTATTATTCTATCTGCATTTTTCTTGGACCACGTGCATGGGGGCCCTTAACTTTTTCACTAGAAGTTGAAGCTAACCAACCGGTGATAATACAAGTAGGACATGCCCTTGATCTGTTCATTTTTCTTACACTATGTTCTGGAAGTGTTTATAAACATATTAAAAGTCGAATAGGTTTTTATTTACATATTTCGTAGCTTCCATAAGTACTATATACTTATTCATCACCCATTTCTATCTGTTTATAGAAACAACTGTTTATAGTTTATAAACACGTCACGTGCCAAACCTATATTTTACTTCTTGCCTGCAAACTTGTCTGTCTAATCAAGAAAGGGTTCTTCATGATTACCCACTTCAATAGAAGAAATGAACAATGTCCCATGCTGATTAAGAACAGGAAAGTTTAAGAATTCATAATCTTATTATTCTGAAATTGGGTTGGTTCTCTACGAGTATCTAAATAATTTTACGGGATGTGTATATATACAACACATAGACATAGGCAAAAATAATAAGTTTAAAGTTTCAATTATAATAGGTCAATGTTGTTAACAATGAATAGTACAAATTCTTTTGTTGAATGTTGTTTTATACTGATCAAATTGCACATTTTTAAGTTTTGTGAGTTTTCATATATACTCTACTGAGTCTTTAAAGTTTCATATTAGAATACCATTACTACTACAGAGTCAAACACAAAATCTTATATGTTTGGAAGCAAAATATTTAAAGGAATTGACTTTTTTTGCCTAATGATATTGGATATTGCAGCATAGCGCTACACAAGTGTGGATTGACAACACGTACCTATTTTTTATAGAATATTATCTTATTCTAATCCAAGCAATTGTCTAAGACAATCTTGATCCAGACTAGTTTAATCTAGGAATCGGAAAAGGATAGGCCAACGCCATCGTTGTGTAGCTACTTTCTCCTTCAACAAATGGATGGCCGTTGAGGCTTAACATCTATAAACTCGTAATTGATCTTGGTGCATGACTCCTTTGTCCTTGATGGCTCGTTTTGTCTATTGTTTTGTTTCACTTTTCCTATTTTTGGATTTAGTTCATTTGGGCTTAGCCCACTGGTCATATATAACACTTGGAGTTAAGCTGATGGGCCACGAGTCCCCCACTCACGGTAGAGCACCACGTGTAGTTGATATTTTGCTCCTGATGTAGATTAAAATTAGATTTTTGGTATATTTTGATAAAAATTGTGTGGTTAAAAAGTTACGGACCGCGTGAAATATGTGATTAAAATTAATTATTGACTTTGACTTGAAATTAAAATCAAATAATCAAATATTGCTTATAGATCAAATTGTGAAAACCCTATTACGAAAAATATGTTCTTATGAAAACACATTAATAAAATATTTCAAGATAATTTCCACAATTTATAACAGAATACTAAAAAAACGTCGATTTAAAGTAAAGAACTAGTTCACGTCTTTTTACTTTTTTTTTTCCTCTACCACTTACATTTGAAATTAGTTCGTGAATACAATTTTCATAATAGAATTAACTTCGTTACTGCAGAATACTGTTATTGAAAAGCATTTTGCGTGCAACTCTTATTCCATGCATCATGCAAACTTGTTTGAGAGATTCACTTTTGGAAAATGTCATTGTATCTTGAAAAGCAATTCCCAATAATTCCCTTTCACGATGTAATAAAAAAACAATCACGCTACAGAATTTTTTGACAGAAAATCCCTACAGACAACACATGGTGCGGCATCATTGGAAGATGGGGGAAAAAAAAGAAGGAAAAAAAAAACATTTCAATCACATTTTGATGAAAATTTAAATAAAAGTTAACAATTAATTTTAATAACACATTTCATGAGAGATACAATTTTATCAACTTTTTAATCGCGTATTTCATCAACTTTTATCAAAATCTTATAAAAATTTGATTTTTAGCTAAAACAATAATGGCTAATGCATGGTGAGGATTTTTTTTTTTTATTAAGCGCAAACAAATTATTGATACCATTTTCAAATTTCGAGGGAAAGGTACCTAGAATTACTTCGCAAATTAAATAGCACATATTACATACCGCAAACTATGCAAGTACATGGGAATTAATTAATTCAAGAAAAACATGGAGGAAGTGCACGCACTCCCAACAATGAAGACACACCAAAGATAAGATACACTGCTAATTAATACAACTCATAATTTATTGGAAAATCAATGATCTTTGTGATCATCAGAAGAAGTCTTGACAGTAACAGCTGGGAAATCAAGAAGAACAGCCTTTTCAATTGCAGCTGAAAATGTAGATGAAAATTCAACATGATTTGGATGGCTAGCAAAAGCAGTGAAATCATCCTTGCTACCAAATGTCATCAAGAAAGCATGGGTGAAACCTTGTCTTAGCATCTCATGGCTTTCAATGTCCTGTCCCCTGTGTAAAATATGAATAAATAATTTCATCGTCTTTCTAGTAACACGAGGTCTTAAAAAAAAAGTCCAATCTAAACTTAAAACCTTTAGATAGATTGGTTCGATATAGTAGTATTGAGGTAAAGTCTCGCAGCCACCTAGGTATGTAAATTGTGGATGTGCTAGGCATCTGATGAAAAATAAATCTGATGTGCATCTTAAGGAGCACGATGAAAACTAAATTTAACTAGATATGGGCGTCTGCTCTCTAAAAAGCATCTTTCTAGACAAGGTAATTTTATAGTCTAGCTGTGTTAAAGATGTAACATAAATAAATTAATTCGTCACACCTCTAATAAAATAAGCGTATAACGTAATGTAGTTTAACCTTAGAGTCTCAAAGTAACAGTATTCTTAAAATTTCTCATTATGAATGATCACCATAGTGTCAAGATAGGCAAAAATTCTTGAACTTTTTATTTCCTAGCTGTGTTATCAACATAACAAATGAAAACCAGGTGTCTGAGATTTTGTTTTATAGATATAGAGACGGAAAAATGGTGGATATGACATATCAATTAATTGGTGGATAAGTTTATGGAGTGCATACATGGATTATATCCTGGTTGTGGAGAAGAAATTAAGTCATATTTGGTCGTGTATAATAGCAGCTTCTGAAGTATATAGAGAAATATATATGTTAAAAAAGCTGCTTTAAAACACAACCAAACGTCGTTGATAGTGAGAGACAAGATTTACCAAACAAAGGACTTGACAATGTCCATTTCTGAGACAAGTTTCTCCATCCCTTTCAAAACTCCTTCGATTGCCACTTCTTCCTTGAACTTGACCAGCACCAAATGCTTGAATTCAGCCATGGCTTATTCACCAATATGAAAAAAAATGAGTCTATGAAGCCATCAATATATACACATAATAATCAATTATTTGTATCTCAACTTCTACAGTGGTAGGTGTCACACCTTTGTACCATGAACTTCAGTCTCTCCTTTACAAGACAATATCTACAATTTAATATTTGGAAAGGTACTATTCTGCAACTTTATATGGTCTCAGTCAAAATTAACCACTTTGCTTTCAAATGAGAGGGATAGGGTAGGGTAGGGGGCTGGGTCCATGGTGTGCTAGTTTTTCTTCATGTTTGAGTTATTGAGTTGAAGACCACTCTGATATTTTTAATTTTTAGATGATGTTGTTGAATAGTATCAAAAAAGAGAGGCATTGAGAACATAGCTCATTGCTCCTAATTTATGAAAAGTTTTGCAGGTATTAGCCCCTGACCTATACACAAGGACGGATCCACGTTGGATTACAGACCGAGCTGTAATATAGTGAATAGAGATTTCGAGATCAATATCACCATCACTTATTTATGAAAATAATGCACATATTGAATGTTTGATAATAATAAATATGATTTACACTTGAGAACGTGTTGAAGATATAATTTAAATAAGGTTAAACGAGGTGTTTTCACAAATTTCAGTGACTGATTTCCAGAGCCAATATCATCACACCCACTGACCCTTTATTTCTATATCTTTGTAATTTAATGCAAAGAACTTTTCTTTGAAATTGAGAATCCTATATGCTTCTTGCTGGACTTTTCTCCAAGTCACTCCCATGTGCTCTAATGCTTTTTAATTCAAAATCATGACATAACATCACTTGCCTGCCGCTAAGGTACGTTACCCTTAATTATTAAGAAAAATAAAATTCTCACCATTAAATTTTCGATGTAGATTAAGATTACGATCTCGTCAATTCTAAAGAATACCGACAACGATTCCAAGACTCGAAAGAAAATCCAATTTGGTATAAATCTCATTAGAAACAACCAATTCTCCTAACGACTAAGTGCTCCTAACTTTACGACTTAGTAAACATAATTAACATATAGAACTAAAATGCAATAAAATTCAGCATCCGTCAGCCCAACGTAAGCCTTAGCCACGTCCCTCTTTGGTGTAATTTTTCTCTTGGAAGGGCTTTCTTGTGTGTGAAAGATCCACAATGTTATTCTCTTTATTTTGACAAAAGCTGCATTGCATTTAATACTTTCTTGTTACCTCTACTTTTTCATCCACTACTAGAGTAGATAATATGTCCATACAGAAGAGTAAAAACATTTGAAAATGACAAGTCTTTTACATTAGAAAATTAACCTACAACTTTTTTTCAGGTAAAAAACAAAGGTTCATTCATATAGAGCAATATAGATGTGTGTATGTATGTGAGTACACACACAAGTTTCACATTTATAAAGCTCGTATCCTAGGAGCAATATGCTCGATATAAAGTATTGAACACAAGTCGATAGTATAATATACAAGATTTTAATTTTTCTTTCTTCTTCAATTTGTTTATTATTATTCGATCATAGCCCTCTTGCTCGATATAAAGTATTGAACACAAGTCGATAGTATATGTTATTTCTTTTCATTCTATTCATTCCAAGCTATTTTTTAAAAGCTCGGTCCAGTCCCCAACCCATTTATTATTTTTTTTAGTAGAAAAAAAAAATTTATGTAAAAAAAATTTTACATATCAGTTTGGCCTGTAATCTAGTCCTGGATCGTTCCCTGAATTTAGGAGGGCTAACTCTAACATCCTACGTTAGGAAACACAAGAATAAGCCTTAATTAATAAAGGAATATTTATTAGAGCTGCAAATATTTTACTAGTAATTGCTAAATAAACTCATTTAGTTCATCTGCTATTTTTTTTTTCCTTCCTTTTTCTTTTTTTTCAGGAATGTGCATAGGAACCTAGTTCAGGAAACAACAAATGAAGTGTAGACAATGTCAATATACAGATAAATGGAGTGTAGACAAGCCATTGCCGACAGATTGGACATCCCTCGTGCAAATGTAAGAATTTTAGTACCTTATCCAAACGTGTGCAGAATGTGGGGCAATAAATAGCAGTCATGTATCATGCATCTGATCTGATTCATAAAAATAGCAATGTAAAAGGAAAATAAGTGGCAAAATATTAATCCATCCTGTATAAAAAATTATTTATTGTTTTTTTTTAAAGCTATTAGAGAAGCGACAAACTTATTTAAATTATATCTTCAATACATGCTGTACGACGAATTTCGCGTATTAAAATACAGAAAACGTCACAAATTGTATTTTAAGAAATACAAATAAATGAGAATCTTCTTGTAATTGCAAAATTGCAAAACCCTCTGATTAATGATCTGAATGTTTGAAGACAGGAGTCACGTGGCTTGAATCCAAGACTTCTAGAATTGTTGAGAATTTGATTTACCGAGCACTTGACTTGTTGACACTTGAATTTCAGAACTTGGATTTGGACTTCAAAACTTGGTCTTGATCTTGATTTAATTCGAAGAAGATTTTGATCTTCTTGGATTTGTTTGGTTTGAAGGAGATTTTGATCTTCTTCGTGTTTGCCGAACTTGGAGTTGAGATGATTTCTTCTCTTC